ACCTTGCCAAATGTTGTGTTTTACTCTAATCAAGTACGGCGGATTTTTCCGTCGGTACATGAAAAATTGCATCAACATGAGAAAAAAATTATTCGGACATGAAATTAACAGAAATAAAAAAATAGTATTGAGTAAATGTGGCGAACACACTTCAAACCTCCGTGTAACTGACGACTGCGTCTCTTTTTGGCAAAAAAAAAAAATTGCGATGGCTACATGTTACAACTGAAGAGAGCAATTTAAGGTTTTAATATTCTCATATCCGCTGAGCGATGATTATTATAAACAAAATTTAAGGACAAATTAGTGGAGAGTTACACACAATTAATGCCCTCGTCACATGTAAACTAATGATTTTGCTTGCTCTGAGGTTGAGTTAAAAGACGATCATTATAATTTTTATGCCGTTACACATGATTTCGCATGCGGTGTGGCTCGCACATCTGAATTCTTAAAACTAATTTCTTAACATTCTAATTTCTTAATTGAAGAGTATAACCGTTTTCCAGAGGCGCGCGCGTATCAGGTCATTTCCCGACTGTCCATTATTAAACCAAAAGTTTTTTTTTTTGCTTCTTGAACTTGCATTTTCGCACCAAATGACACTCACGAGACTTTGTTTTCCGTTTGGGTGAATTGCCTTCGAGCAACGTCGGATTAAGTTTAAAAGCTGGCAACAATTTAGCACTCAACACATTTCTTTTGAATCGATTGATTTTCCGCGAATTCTTTGATGAAAAAAACTGTACTCTGATGATCGACTGTCCAAAGTTGGAAATTTGAGGATCAACTAGTGGCGCGTTAGAGGACACACTATTTGTGCCCAATAGAAACCGATTAACAGGGGGTAAAGCATTATCACTGAGGTGGTATAGGTAAGGCTGCGGCCTGAACTTGAGGTTCCAAAATTTGGCGTTATGAGGAACCTTAGAGAAAAGAATCATACTTTCTTTAATTTTGAGCTGGAACCTATGGTACGCGAATGGTCGTTGCCATGGAGAAACTTTCGAGTCCTCATGAGTGACACTGTTAGAGTTGAATTTGCCGCACAGGTTAAATGAAGCTTTAAGGTGAATTGAGTATGGACGAACTGATTTTTCTGACGTCGTTACATTACAAGTATTGATGACAAAATTGCTATTGATAACAGATGTTGAGATAGTGTTCGGAGTAGATTTGGACACCTTAGCTTCCAAAATGTGGGCACTGGTGACGTCAGCTACATGACCCTGGTTCTTAGTCATCGAGAAGAAAGCTTTCGACTTCGGGTAGGAGTTGGTTTCCTCAACACTGGTGGAATTTTCTTCGTCTGACGTGACTCCAGCTTGCATACAATTCACGAATGGAACAAACACGATGACTTTGGAATTTTTATTAGTGTATTTTCCGAAGGAAATACACTATTGCATTCTCCCATGATGTCGGACCCAGACCCGAGACCTTGTGAAGAGCATCGATCACGGGTCGTAGATCACGAAAATATATGCCATTCAAATTCATGTGTATATATATATGTATGTATATATGTATGTATGTATGTATGCATGTATGTATTTCCGCCTTTTGAAGATTTTTCGATTTTTGAGTGGTTATATCTTTCTTACGTTGAAAGATATTTTGACCAATTTTTTTGCATTTTGTAGAGACTCATTAGGACTACTATTCTGCGAAAAAAAATTGAAATTTGAGGCAATA